GGCTCGTTAGAGGCCAAAAACCTTACCCAATTTGGGAAAAACTGGGTTTCTAAGAGACTTTCAGTGATTTTGTGTGACTCGACTTTCACCTGGCATAAAAAATTAGTCGGAAGGGATTCGTGAATTCGTCTTACCAGAAATCGAAGCATAATTGTCGTGAAGTGCCAATAAGTCCTCGACCCAACGTCCTGCGATCTCGATCTTGATCCGATTATGTGACAGCCGACATCGTCAGAGCGAGAATGTATACTTTACAAAAAAGCTCGCCAATAAGTCAAATCAAGAGGAAAGATTTCCTCATTCACATGATGCATCCATCGATATTGCATACCACAGCACTACAAATCAGTTCTCTTTCAATTTTCCGTGAGACCAAATCATGAATTCTTTCCAACCGACGTTTGTAGCCAAATGAAAAGCCGAGTCACATTGAGTCACAAAAGCTTTTTTAAAGCCCATCTTGGTCCCTTAAAAAGCGAAATAAATTGGCTCTAAGGCCGACCCTCAAAGAGATCCTGCCAATTAGAAGCATTTAAATGTCAACACTTACACTTTGGGCATGTGAAGACAGCACAATTCTGGTTTCCGTAGCTACCAATTCACCAATTCACTTTCAGCCAACCTTTCCTTCACAGTGCATAGTCTGCCCAATTGTGTGAGACCTCTGAAAACAGTTGCCAAGGGCGACCCCAACAAAGGGTTTCCTGCCATAATTTGTACCCCAAACAGCCGAATTCAGGCCCATACCCACCTGAGTCTGTATTCGCAGCAGCCGTCGAACGAGATGACGCGCTCGGCCGACCTGTAGCTCCAGCCATTCGGCCAGTGGCTGGTAGTCAACGAGACCATCCTCAATGTTTGCGCTAACGCCGGATTCCCTCTTCACCGGCAGGTTGGGCGTCGGAGACTTGGATACAGACCTGCCCGCAGGCCTTAACAGACCGCAGGCTTGCAGGCGTTTTGCGCTTGCCTCTTGAGCGTCAAGAATGTCAAAAAGTCCAGCAGAATCGGACACCAGCCAGACAAGTGAAAGCCGAGCCGTTTCCCCTGCCTTCTCGACCTTGTCAGGGTCGCTCGCGTCCGAGACCAAACTATCCAGCATCTGAAACAAATGGGTAAAATTTACTTTTGTAATCCACTTTTCGTCGACTCTTGAATGGGATCACTAGAAAAAATAGACCAATACTACTCATTTCACTGTTTAATTTGGCATAAAACTTTCGTTGTCGCCTCTTTTGAAGAGAACATAGAATCATTAAAGACATATGAAAATTTCAAGTAAGTTAAGAATTATAAAAAGGCTTTTTTCTCTCGAATGAACTGCATTTTCGACATTGCCTAGATATAGTTAATTTTGCAGCCTACTCATATCGTAAATGAGTAGCATGCCAGTAATATGATTCAAAGCCTAATTTGTGAAATGCTATATATTGTTTAGAACGCCGAAATTACCGGAATCCTACATATTTGATCGTGCAAAAATATTTCAACAACCAGCCTCATTAAATTAGACGAGATTGTGACTTCTGAAATGAAAGAAAAAATAGACAGGACCATTTGGCCAATACTACTCATTGCA